GAATGTTGGGCTGTCTTGAAATTTCCTCTGCCAGATCAATTAGTCTATAGACTGTAAACTCATCCTACTGCAAAAGTTTCAGGACATGGGCAAAATGAGGACAAATTTTCTCCCAGAGTATAACACACATGGCCTCTAATTAAACTACCAATGGAGTCTTTGTTCCCAACTGAAACCTCCTGAGATTGGCTTTTATTGCATTCCTATTGTTATTCTTATCTTTTGAAGTCAACTATAATCAACCATCAGGCTCTGCTTATAGCATCCTAGAGCTTCTCTAGCATCTCCAAACTTTTCCAAACTCTTCCTAAAAACCAGTTACATGTGTCTAAGCCACATGGTCAAGGACAGTTACAGCAAGAGCCCCATTCCAATTTTCTGTATTAGCTTTCCTATTGCTGGGACACAATACCTGACACTCACAACTTAAAGCAGGAGAGGTTCATTTTGACTCAGTTTCATGAGCTTCAGTCTATGGTCAGCTGGCTCCAAGGCAGAAGCATCATGGTGGAAGAGTGTGACAGAGTAAAGATGCTTAGTTCATTGTTGCTAGGAAGCAGAACAGGGGAACAGTGCCAGAGAGGAAAGAGCCAGTATACAGTACCCAAGGTCATGCCTCCATGACCCAGCCAGACACGCCCAGAAATGTACTTTACTAATCTCCTGGGTGTTTAAGTCAATCAGGTTGACATAATTAAAAATCACTGTCATGGGGTAACCAGGCCTGTGCTAAAGGAGGCCTTAGCTTGTGGAGGGTGAGCACTGGGGCAGGAACAGGCTTGGCTTAAACCTTGCTCAGAGGCTGTCCAGAGCAGACATTGGCTTTCTAAAAAATCAGGGCTGTAGTTCCAGCTATTGGGAGGCTGAGACAGGATGATCCCTTGAGTTTCGGAGTTTGAGGCCAGCCTGGGTCTCCACAGTGAGACCTCTCCCTCTCTCTCTCTCTCTCTCTCTCTCTCTCTCTCTCTCTCTCTCTCTCTCTCACTCCAAACAACAACAACAAAAAGAAGATCAGGGCTTAGAAGCCCCTTTGGCATAGAAGAGGGTGGGATGGAGCACAGGTGAAAAAGCAGATCTCAGGCTGGGGATTTAGCTCAGTGGTTCTGCCGCCTGCCTTGCAAGTGCAAGGACCCGAGTTTGATCCCCAGTACCAAAAAAAAAAAAAAAAAAAAGAAATCGAAAAAGCAGATCTCCCCCACCGGCCAGGTGAAGACACAGCAGCGAAGCTGAGTCTCTGGCCTGGCCACATCCTTTTCCCATTTGTCAACTGGAGGAGAAATCTCATATGCTGCTGTTTGGTATCACTCACTATGTTTAGTTACCAACAACTTTGCTGTCAGCCCCTTGGACCTCTTGCTCTTGGGTGAGGATCCTTCATATGCTCTGCTGGGGAGGCTAAATTCATCCTGTTTGTTTTTGTTTAGGGATGAGGGACCATTTTCATAGGCTTTGGCTGTGCTAGGGTATGGCTCAGAACCCATCTGGAATGAAGAAGCTGAGATACCTAGGACCTCAACTCCTTTCACTTGGGGCTGCAAGACAACTTTTGACATCAAAATACTGAATCAAATTGTACTGTGGGGCCAGTGAAGGGAGAGAGAGGAGAGGAGTGGGGTTATGTTTCCCCTTTTCACAGGGTGATGGGAGTTCCAGTGTTGACAGGGGCAGGGGGACCTGGCCAAAGGTATTCCCCTTGTTGGGAGAGAGGCTGGTCCTGGTATAACATGGTTTAAGCAAGATAACTTCCTGGAAGGGCAAAGGTTTGCACATCAGGGCCAGTGAGGGTCGATATCTATTTTATATTTCTATTTTCAGTATTATAATAAACATCTATTAACCATTTCAGTCAGGTTAGCTGGACTCTGGGAATTTAAGGAAGGTGCCCCTTTCCATAGCTGCTGTTTATGGTTATTGAGCAGTTAAAATGTGTCTACTCTGAAGAGAAATATAACATACACATCAGTTTTCAAAGACTTACTGGAGGGGAGATTTTAACAATTTAAAGTTTGGATTGTATGTTGAAATGATAATAATTTGATTGTATTGGGTTCAAGAAAATTAGATGGGATTATAGGCCTATACCTGGTGTCCAGTCTTGTCCTTTAAGTCTTAGAGTGACCCTCAGCAACCCTGAATGGGTGGGGAGGGAGAGAACAGTGAAGATATGAAAATATTACCAGGATGAATTAATTCAACACACCATCTTCCCTTGAGGGGTTGCAGAAATAGATGTGTTAGGAAACCTATTAAAGATTGGCATTGCTATGGTTTGGACCACATTAGCTGGGTATAAAAGGTAAGAGAGGGATAGAAAAAAGTTGGATAATAGATGCTAAAATACATTTATAGAAGAGGAATAAATTCTAGTGTGCTACAGCACAGTAGGGTGACTAATGAACCCAGGGCCTTGTACATGCTAAGGGAGATCTCTACTGCTGGGCTACATCCCCAGTCCTTTTAATAATTTTTGAGACAGGGTCTTGCTAAATTGCCCAGCCTGGCCTTGAAGTTGTGATGCTTCGACCTCAGCCTTTCAATTAGCTGGGATTACAGGCATGTGCCACCACCTCTGGTTTAAAACATTCAAAATATGTTTCATAAAGAACTGGAAGAGAGGAATTTGAAGACTTCTAACACAGAAAAGAAGTGTTTAAGGAGATGTGAATGCCAGTTACCTTGATGTGATCATTACACATTGTACACATCTATACACTGTACCCCATAAATATACACAATTATTATTATTAT